TCTTAAATGTCATTTAGTATATTCTCTCTAGGTATGCACTTCCCCATCATAAGCTAAGTAGGTTAATGCATTTGTGTCTCTACCAAAGAATGGAAGTTCCCTATTAGCTTGATCATATATATTTGTTAGGTTTCTGGAATTAGAAACCTAGAAACTCCCTTACAACCTCTCCCAATAGAGAAAATAGGCAGCAGAAAGAATAGTATTTCTGTATTATCAAACGAATCAATGTACAAGAATTAATGTACAAGTGAATGGTTCTACATGAGCCTAATCCCTCTCCTCAGGACCAAGGCCTATACAAACAAAAATACTCACTAACTAAAAGAAATGACAATTACACTATTTATAATAGCTCTTTCCCTCCCATTGTAACGGTCATGAGCCCTCACCGCCTTCAACCATCCGGCTCAAGCCTTCAACACCTTCAACTGTTCGGCTCAAGCCCTCACCACCTTCACTCGTTCGGCTCAAGCCCTCACCGCCTTTTTCCTCGTAACTTGCTTTATTCTTCTTCCTTCTTTCATATACTTTCTAGATCCTATCGTTACCCACCGCCTAAAAAATAAGCTTATTCCTAAGGTTAAATTCAGGAAATTGATCTTGTATTGCCACCAGATCCTCCCATGTAGCTCCATCAACTCCACCTTCCTGCCATTCAATCAAAACCTACTCTACTACATCCTCTCCCTATTGCTTTTGTCTTCTACCCATAACCTTTTGCAGCCAAAACAAGGGCCCTTTTGCCTGCAAGTCTTCTGGTAACTCCTTCTCCATCGTCTTCACTCCTACCGCCAGCTTTAATTGGGACATGTGAAACATCGAGTGGATCCTTGTTGTTTCTGGTAATAACAGTCTAAAAGCCACCTTTCGCACTTGCTGCACCACCTTGAAAGGCCCAAAATACCTGGCCGATAGCTTAGGATGTAACCTCATTGGCATGGATGACTGCCTATGGGGTCTGATCTTCAAATAAACCCAGTCCTCAACTTTGATTCTATTGGTTTCCTCTTACGGTTAGCATGCTTGGCCATTAGGTCTTGAGCTCTCATCAAATGAAACCTAAGTTGTTGCAAGGGCCTCATCTCTGGTTTGCAGCTCCTGAGCCACCGCCTCTACTAAAGTTTCTCCTGGAATAAACCTTGTTAATGTTGGAGGTACCCTTCCATACACATTTTCAAAGGTTGTACACTTAGCTGCCCCCTGATAATTGGTATTATACCAGTATTCCGCCCAGGAAAGGATAGAACAATAACTTCTTAGTTGTTCTGAACAAAAACATCTCAAGTATCCCTCTAAAATCCTGTTTAAGACCTCCGTTTGGCCATCCAACTCTGGATTATATGTTGTACTCATTTAGAGTTGGGTGCCTTGAATCTTGAATAGCTGATTCCAAAATAGACTAAAGAATAATAGGTCTCTATCACTTATAATTGTCATCGGCACTCCATGTAACCTCACCACTTCCTTCAGGAAGATTTCGGCCACTATGCGATCAATCACGACCAAATCTGCATCGTGGCCCTGCGACTTAGGAAGCTTCACTATGAAGTCCATACTAATTTCTTCCCAAACCACGTGAGGAATAGACAAGGGCTACAACATCCCTTAAGGCGAAGAGGCCAAATATTTGTACTATTGACAGATGAGACATTGTGCTATGTAGTTTGTGACCATCGTCTTCATTCTCACCCAATATAATGACTATGCCACCTTACGATACGTTTTGTATACCCTCGAATGACCTCCAGTTGCAGTGGTGTGGAATTTAGCCAAGATTTTGGGTATCCAGACTAACTTCGTTGAGATGACTAACTTACCCTTGTAGTGGAGTCTGCCTCTCTCCATGGTGAAAGCTGGATTCGACTCATGATTGTCCTTTAGGTTCCCCATTATCTTCCTCAAGTGTTCATCCTCTTCTACCTCCCTCAATACCTCCTGAAAACCCTGTCAGTATGGTCTTGCTACTACTCTCAGCTCTTTTTCCTCCTCAACCTCACCTCCTTTCTTGGATAAGGCGTCTGCCACCCTGTTGGCCACCCTTGCTTTATACATAATGTCAAAATCATATTCTAAAAGCTTGGCTATCCAATTATGTTGGTCCTGCGTGGTAATTCTCTACTCCAATAGGTATCTCAGACTTCTCTGGTTTATGTGCACCAAAAACTTTTGCTCAAGAAGGTACGACCTCCAATGTAGACAGGGCCATGAGCTCCTTCTCATAAATTGACTTGCTCCATGACCCCTCGAATAACGCCTTGCTAAAAAACGCAATGGGCCTCTTGTTCTTGGTGAGAATCGCCCCTACTCCTCCTTCAGATGCGTCACATTCAATGTGAAACTACTGATTGAAATCGGGCAAGGCCAGGATTGGTGATGTAGTAATCGCTTCCTTCCGTTTCTCCATAGCTGCTCTTGCAGTATCTAACCATATAAAGTTCCCCTTCTTCAATAGTTCAGTCAATGGGTGTGTTATCTTCCCATTATCCCTCGCAAATATTCTATAGTACCCCGTTAAGCCCAAAAATCCTCTTAGAGCTTTAAGATTTCCGGGTTTTGTCCACCCCCGAACTACCTCCACTTTCTCGGTATCCATCTCCACCCCTTTCTCATAAATGTTGTGCCCCAAGTACCTGATTTGTACCTTGCCAAACTCACATTTTTTTCGGTTAGCCACCCACCTATGCTGCTTTAAAGTGCCCAACACTTGCCCCCATGTGCTCCATATGTTCCCTCCAAGATTGATTGTACAGTAGTATATCATCGAAGAATACTAGGACGAATTTCCTAAGGTATGGCTTTAATGAGTTGTTCATGGCACTTTGAAACATGGTCGGAGCATTAGTAAGGCCAAAAGGCATCACTAGGAACTCATATTGTCCTTGGTGTGTCCTAAAAGTCGTTTTCTAGATGTCCTGTGCCCCCATTTTAATTTGGTGGAACTTGCTTTCAAATCCACCTTTGAAAAGTAACATGCACCCCTTAATTTATCAAGAAGCTCCTCTATAATAGGTATGAGGAACTTGTCAGGGATGGTGGCTCTATTTGGCGTCCTATAGTCTATACAAAACCTTCAGCTCTCATCCTTCTTTTTAACCAATATGATAGGACTCGAATAAGGGCTTGTACTGGGCCTTATTATCCCTGTCTTCAACATTTCCTCCACCTGTTTTTCAATTTCCCCCTTTAACACATGCAAATACTTATAGGAACGTACATTAATGGTGTCTTCTCCTTCTTCAACGGTATTTTATGCACCATTTCCCTGTCTAGGGGCAGCTCTTTTGGCTCCTGGAATACCTCCTTATATTGCTCCAGCATATTCTTTAGTTCTCCCTCCTGTGCTTCTATCAACTTTGGAGCCAACCCTTTGTTCTCCTCTCCCTCTATTCTTCCCAAGTTCCATACTAAGGTCACTACTTTTATTTCTACTATTTTGAGCAGGGCTTCTAGTGCAACCACCTTCCTGGCCAACGTCGGATCCCCCTAGATAGTCACTTCTCTTCCTTCCTGCCTAAACACCATAATAAGTTTTCCCAATCTATCATCACTTCACCCAACTTCGCCAGCCAATCTACCCCAATATTGCATAACCCCGCCTAACTCAAATAGGTAAAACTGTTCTTTAATCTCTGCTTCTCCCAGCTTCAGGATTACCCCCTTGTAGAGACCCTAGGTCTCCTTCCTTTGACCGTCTCCTAAGCTCACCCAATAAGGCTTGGTAGCCTCTACCTCCAATCCCAACTCCTTAACAAATCCTTGAGATATAAAGTTGTGGCTTGCACCACTGTCAATTAATATTAACACTGGTTTTCCCTTTATCTTCCCTTGAAGTTTCATTGTTCTAGGCTGTGTTAATCCTCCCGATGAGAACGTTGAAAGTTCCATCTACCTTTGTTCCATATTGGCCTCCTCTGTCACATCGGTTTCTATCCCCTCCATCTCTCCTTCTTCATCCTCGCCTAATATCACCACTCTCAAGCTTCGTTTTGGGCAGCGATGATCGGGGCTGAAAGGCCCACTACATCGGAAACATCATCCCTCCTCTCTCCATTTAAGGAATTCCTGGTAAGGCAGGTTCTTTATTCCTCTTCCCCTATTATCGCTTCCCCCCGTCATTCTAGTCCTCTCTATCGCGCTTCCCAACGATCATTCCCTTTTGAACGTCCTGACGCTCTCGGATTCCCCTTGCCTGCCCGCACTACTCCGGTGAGGTTCCACCCTGGTCAAGATTCCTCCCCCGCCTATACTCCTTCCCCATGATGTTGGGTTCTTATTTTTGCTCCAACCCCCAGCCTTATTTCGACTCCATCCTTGGCGATCCTCATGGCGGACAATAGTTCTTGTGGGTCTTGTTTTCGAACCTGGTTGCATATATCCTCCTGCAACCTCGCAAGGAAATACCCTAAAAATTGTTCCTCTGGCAATCCCTTCGTCTGCCCCACCAGCACCTTGTACTCCTGCACAAATTAGTCCACTGTCCCTGTTTGGCAGGTGGCCGCCAATCGTTCGAAAACGGAACCCCTGCTTCTGCCTCCAAACCTTACCACCAAAGCGTCCTTCAATCTTGCCCAAGAACGGTTCTTGGCCTTCTCCCTCCAGAATCAGAACCAGTACCCCATGCTACCCTCCACACTGATGTACGCTAATCGGACCTTCTCGTCCTCTAATACCCCTTGTAACTCGAAGAATTTCTCTGCGTGATTGATCTAGTTCAGTGGATCGATCCCCTTGAAGACAGGTACCTCCACCCATTTTCGCCAACTGTTTTTCCCTTCGTTCCGTTCGACTTCCCTTCCTCCTTCTTCGTCTTCTCACCTCGCCCTTCGATGTTCGTTAACAAACACTTAACTTCTGTCTGATAGCCCTTCCTGGTCGCGAGTTCTGCCTCCCAAGATTCACATGACTTCTTGCAAATCTTTCCTAGTCACCATCATCCCATCCACCGCTATTTCCATCGCTTTTATCTGTCCCTCCATCACATTCAATCTTCTATCGATTCTGCCCTCCATTTTTCCCTTAATTTGGATCTGGCAGGTCGAACCAATTGTTAGGTTTTTGGAATTAGAAACCTAGAAACTCCCTCACAACCTCTCCCAATCTAGAAAATAGGCAGCAGAAAGAATAATATTGCTATATTATCAAAATAATCAATGTACAAGTGAATGGTTCTACGGGAGTCTGATCCCCATCTTAGGACCAATGCCTGACTTTGCAAACAAAAATACTCACTAACTAACAAATATGACAATTACACCATTTATAGTAGCTCTTTCCCTCCCACTATAACAGTCATGAGCCCTCACCGCCTTCAACCGTCTGGCTCAAGCCCTCAACGCCTTCAACCGTTCGGCTCAAGCCCTCATCGCCTTCAACCGTCCGACTCAAGCCCTCATCACCTTCAACAACTGTCCGACTCAAGCCCTCACCGCCTTCACCCATTTGGCTCAAGCCCTCATCGTCTTCACCCATTCAGCTTAAGCCCTTATCACCTTTTTCCGCTTTTTTCTTCTTCCTTCTTTCATACACTTTCCAGATCCTATCAATATCACACTCAATCCTATCCAACTCCCAAAATATACAATTTTTTTTGGTCTTTTCAAGTGTTTTCAATCATATCTTTGAAAGTATTTGGCTTGTCAAAACTAAAATTGTTACTCCTATAAGACCTATAATTTGACATCCTTTGTTCTTAAAAGTTTTTCTAATCTAAATGGTTATAACTTTAGACAAATCCAAGGTAAGAGAGGTGAACCACAAAAGTTACTTAAGTACCATAGAAATGTCTTCAACTAACTAATTATCTTTTAAACTAAAATTAGCTTTAAAATCAAGGAAGGACATGACTGACACTAGAAATGTCTTCAATTAACTAATTACCTTTTAAACTAAAATTAGCTTTAAAATCAAGGAAGGACATGACTAACAAACAAACACAATCAGTCAAAGAACATTAAAAGACTAGACTCCTAATTAATTCTTTCCACCTAGGAGCTTACAATTAAAAGAGTTGAAACAAATAGATTTTAGGATGAGGTCTCCTAAGTGAGGCTTGGAGCTTTGTTTCCAAGACACATTCATCTAAAAATTCCAACTACCATTTACAAGCAAAGAGTGCAAGTGAAAGGAATTCCAACTACCAATTACAAGCAAAGAGTGCAAGTGAAAGGAAGAACACTTACAAATTCTTCCAAATCACTTGCTTAGAGGCCTTAATACAAGTAATGATAAAATTGAAATCATAACAAGGAGAAAGGCTTGTGCAGCTCTGGATTCTCAGCAAAGAAATTTGCTTAAGGATAGCAAATTAGTCAAAACTCGCAACTGTAGAGGATGGTGTTTGTTAGGGAGTGGAGAGTTTATGAGAGGAGGAGGAAAAGTTAATGTCCTAACTGCTTTAGGAAGCAGTTTTGCGGGAAGATAGAAATTGTATAAATAGAATTCTATATTCTATTTTAGGGACTTTTGGACTGTTAGTTGTATAGATAGGAACTTTTGTCCTGTGGAGGGGATTAGGCTCCCGCATACTGATTGTACATTGAACCATACTATTGTGAATAACAGAAATTACTGTTGTTTTGCTTGTTGGGAGTGTGTGAGTGGCTGTCGTGGTTAGGTTTCATATCCAAAAACCTAACAGTGTTGGTAGTCTGTTGTTCCAGCGCTCAAACCAGTTCACAATTTTGGTGCACACAGTTTCTCCCAGAAACAACAAAAGAAAAAGATGGGTTAAATATGTTTTTAGTCCCTAAACTATTGGCCGTTTCTGGTTTTCGTCCCTCTTCCAAAGTAAGGTACAATTTGGTCCTCATTCTTTAGAAAAACGTTCGTTTTAGTCCTCAAAATTTTGTTTTTAGTCCTCGTTTTAGTCCTCAAAACGTTCGTTTTTTCGACTAAAACGAACGTTTTTTTAAAGATTGAGGACTAAATTGTACCTTACTTTGGAAGAGGGACGAAAACCAGAAACTTCGTGTGAGTTGCTTTGGTGGAGCAACTTGACTTAGAGACCTATACATCCATGGTAGCATATTAGGAAGTGGAGTAGAGGAAGAAGTGTGTTGCCGGTATCTTTCGGTTAATATGTTTTGTAACTTTACCTTTCTGGTCTCCTTTCAGTGGTATTTAGTTCATCTTAAAAGCGTTTGAAGAAACTGAGTGTAAGACAACCAAAATGTGTGAACTAGTGTTTTGAGACTGTGTCAAAATTGGAACGTGACTGAACAGACTACCAACACTGTTAGGTTTCTGGATATGAAACCTAACCACGATAGCCACTCACACACTCCCAACAAGCAAAACAACAGTAATTTCTGTTATTCACAATAGTATGGTTCAATGTACAATCAGTATGCGGGAGCCTAATCCCCTCCACAGGACAAAAGTTCCTTCTATACAACTAACAGTCCAAAAGTCCCTAAAATAGAATATAGAATTCTATTTATACAATTTCTATCTTCCCGCAAAACTCCTTCCTAAAGCAGTTAGGACATTAACTTTTCCTCCTCCTCTCATAAACTCTCCACTCCCTAACAAACACCATCCTCTACAGTTGCGAGTTTTGACTAATTTGCTATCCTTAAGCAAATTTCTTTGCTGAGAATCCAGAGCTGCACAAGCCTTTCTCCTTGTTATGATTTCAATTTTATCATTACTTGTATTAAGGCCTCTAAGCAAGTGATTTGGAAGAATTTGTAAGTGTTCTTCCTTTCACTTGCACTCTTTGCTTGTAATTGGTAGTTGGAATTCCTTTCACTTGCACTCTTT